CAAGAGCAAGAGCAAGAGCAAGAGCAGCAACAACAACGACGACGGGCTTGTGGATTGGGCTAAGATAACTTCACTGTACCATTGCGACTAACAATACCAACTATAATCCAATAGTATCATATTTAGATGATCAAGCAACATAGACATAGACCAGAAGTTTAAGTAATTCTAAAAGCTTCCCCATGTGCAGTCGCGACACCGGACCCCCCTGCAAAACCAGACGTTTCTCCTCCCCCAAAAGACGCACCAGGTCAGACCCGCCTGGCCGAGTCCTTTTCTGGGAACCGAACAGGACGAGGAAAAAAAGAACGAGAAAAACACAATGACCGAGGACCGAGGGCTGTGCAAAACTCGGTACTACATGGCCGTGAGTACAAAACCCTTATGTCAACGCTTCACTCCAGTACTAGGAGCAAGCACGTTACGAACGGAGCAAAGGGCATCGCTACTAGTGGCAACGAGGCTACTAGGTGGACCTGTCTGTCGTCCACCGGTGTCCCGGTGACCCACCCGCCAGGTGCGCCGCTGGGAGGAGCGGCTCTTGGTGGAGACCGAGCTCCGAGGAGGGGCCGCAGGGGAAGACACGCCCACCGAAGGGGGTAGGTCGTAGAGGTAGGTAGCTGGTAGCTGCTGGTAGCTTAAGTAGCTGCTACCGTCCGGACGGGAGCGCTCGCACGGATCATTTGGTTCCTAGATTTTTAGGGAAACTTAACTAGATCTCGGAGGCTATCCATGTTAGGGAAGAGATGATGCAGCAACTCAACATGAAGTCAACGTGCCATCTATTGCCGTCCGCCCCAGAACAGAAGAACACTGCGCTGGGGTGCTGAACCAGCGAAGTCTCTTCGCATCTCTTGCGAACGCCTTCGAACGGCCAAAACGACCGCTCGTCTCAACGGCCGTCACGAACTCATCACGACCGTCGGAGGCTTCGTGTTTGGTGGCGCCCTCACGGCCCTCACGCAGTACCATTGCTGCAGCGTTGTGCCCCGCTTCGTGGAGGAGACCCCGGCAGACGTCGTGGTCCAAATGGGTCGGTGTTGATCGGTGTGTTCTCGTCTAGAAATAGAAGCTTTATGAATGAAGGTGAACACAGTGATTTGTGAGGGTAGTCCGGAACTTTTGACGTACACCGTACATCTGAGACCTAAACGTTCCAACGACATCATTCTTTAATATTCTTTACACAACCAGCCAATGGTGTTTGTGCCGAGGATCCGGCTGGCACTCTGCAAAAGGTCCAGGAGTTCTTTGGGCGCCACGTGCGTGCGCGGCTGTCACCATTTCAAGCATGCATCGTCGACTTTGCTTTCTTGGAAGGCAGGAAACACATGGAAACACGCGAAAAGCCTAAAGAATCCTAAAGACAAAATCATAATACAGCAGATCACGAGCATTCCAAAGGTGTTTCTCCCAAAGGTTCCCAAGCGCGCACGTCGTGGATTCCTCCCTGCTAATTCAGCCATATTTAGGATCCTTGCGGGTAACCCGATTTGACCATGCAGATGGCATGGAAAGGACATGAAATGACCCAGCCTTCACATCTGTGGTGCTTCAGATGGCGGCATGCGTGTCATCGAGCTGAACCCCTTTGGACCACAAACCGGCGCCCTGCTCTTTGATTGGCAGCGGGATGCATTGATCCTTGCGGGATGGTGGTCCCAACGTCCGGTGTTCAGGTGCGGCCCACCGTCGTGTCGTGACCGCTCAACACATGTGGCTCGCTATTCTACGCAAAACGTGGCTTGAGAGTTTGTGGCGCTCAGATCTTTCGGCTTTTGGAGATCGTTTTGATTTTGAGTATCGAAGGTATGTGAAGAACTCCAAGGAGGCTGGCGGCTATGGGCAGCTGCCCTTGAAGCAGATCTTGGCAAAGTTGGACTCGCTCTCCTGAGGCACGGGCATGGGGCTTTATTTGAAAGGACAGGGTAGGACAGGGTAGGACAGGGTAGGATAGTTAGGACTACTGTAGCTTTTTTGGCGTTGTAGGGGTAGGACCAGTCCAAGACAAGTCAGCTCCTTGTAACCATAAAGCAAGAAGATATTGAAGTGCTCATGCAGTCTTGCAGATGGTAGAAGGTGGTAGGATGGTAGGACATTCCAGGCTGAGGCTTTCTTTGAGCTACACTTTCTGCAAGCATGCATGTTTTTTTTGTATATACACACTTATTGTTGATCAAAGAAGTGTAAATACCGTGAGAGATTCCAGCATAACAGGAACGGAGTAGTGACTCGGAGTAGTGACGCATTTGCGTCATCGGCAGATGGTTCAAGGATCGCCATGGCAGGTCAAACACTTGCTTGGTTGAGGCCCAGTCGAAACTTTCTATGCCCGATGCTGAGCTTGTGATGGGAGTTCCATATCTTGAGACATTCGCATTGCCGCATTTCCCATTTTCCGATTTTACAGTGAAGTGAAGCGTGTCTTGCAGGTGCTTCTGATGGATTCCCAGTGCTTTCTGTCTCCCAGCATTTGCGGCTTAAGCTTTTCGAAGGATCAGGATACAAGAGCGTTCTGTCATTGGTGGCCATGGCAAAGTGGGTCTACAACTTTGGTGATGGCAAGGCAGGGTGTCATTCCTCCGAGTGGATGCGTTTTCCCAATTGCATGCGTATTTCCACGTGTGTATTTAATGTATATAGATTTCAATGTATTTTTTCACAGTCTCACGCGCCGTGCATGCAACACTTCGAAGTTCGTGCGAATTTGACAGGCTGATGGCCGAGCAGAGATGAAAAACCTCCTTGGTGGCAAGGGTGCCAACCTTGCGGAAGCTTGGGCCGCCAACCAGTTTCTCCCGTGCTTTGCCAAATTGATGCCCGAAGGCTCAAAACGTGTGAACCTTAGGGAGTTGATTCGTCATTGGCACAGTTCTTTTTCCATCCTGCCTGCGTGAGGAAATGGCATCCATTGGACTCCCTGTACCACCCGGGTTCACCCTTACAACAGAGGTGTGCACTCATTTCTACAA